AGAGCATGAGAGAAGTAGGGAAGAGAAAGGGAGGGAGCCAAGCAAGGGTGTCATTTCAGGCAAAGTCCTGGGGAGGGTAGCTTCAGCCTGATCCCACAGGGGAGCTCTAGAGTAACCCCACAGAGTTGTCCCCCCTTCCCCAGTCAAGGGAGCTGGGCTTTCACATTCCTGCACTACTGCTCACTGCCTAATAGCTAATAGCCAGATGGGGGAGACCTAAACTCCCAGACTACCATGTGGGCAAAATGATTCCAATAGCTTGCGGAAAGTCCTCTGAAATCACAGGCACAGGCTTTGGAAGCAAAAATATGCTGAAGCTGGGCTATGACATACAGAAATGGTAAAAGAGATCAGAGGGGATTTGAATGGAGCACTTACAGTGTCTGCTGAAACCATTTAAAGGATTTCATATTTACAGCAGGCGTATTTGCATTTTTTTTTTATTTCAGCATATCATAGGGGTACAGATGTTTAGGTTACATATGTTGCCCTTGCCCCTCCTCCCCTCTAAGTCCGAGTTTCAAATATGTCCATCCTTCGGGCGGTGCGCATTGCACTCTTTGTGTATGCATATACCCATCCCCTCCTCCCTCCTCCCCCCGTATTTGCATTTTTTAAAGTAATTAAGGGAGAGAACAATGTGTACCAAGTGCAAGGGGAAGAATTACTTAAAAGTAGAATTCCGTTCATGCATGGGTTTTGGGGGACTCAGTCTACACATAAGCCTCTAGTACCACTGAAATCTGCAGTCTTTCAGTGGGCTAACGCTTTAAAATGGTGTTTGACACCTTTCGCTATCTAGCCTTATTTCTCTAACTCCCTCTTATTTGCTTATTTCTCTAACTCTCTCTGGCCTCTTTCTTTCTACGCTCTATGATCCAGCCATGACCTACTTCTCCAAAAGAACATGTTCTTCTTCCAAAAGAGCATATTCTTGCTCACCTCCAAGACTTCACAAATGCTGTCTCTCTACCTAAAATCAACTGACTCCTTTCACCTGGTTAATTTCTACACTTTCTTCAGTCTTAGTCTAAACATTTCTTCAATTGGGCCTCCCCTGACCCATAGGTCCTCTTTGCTGTAATTACTTGCTTCACACTTGTTTTCTTTTAGAAGGAAGCTCAGAGAGGGCAGGGACCATTTCTGCCTTATTTGTAGCTGTAGCCCCAGTGCCTAGCATAAACATTCATTGAATAAATATAAAATAAATAACTTGCAACATGACATCAGACTATAAGTCTAATAGATGTAGCTTTTTCAGGAGAGACAGATGCTGTCTTTCATTTGAGCTTAGAACATCCTATTCATACCACGAGGACAATAACTTTATTCCAGTTGAAAACAGTGTCATTCTTAATTTTATCGATTAAGTCAGTAATAATTTACATGCTTAAACAATCACACTACAGAGTGAGGCTGAACTCTAAATTGCCTAAATTAGCCCTGCACCACACCGACCTCTGTGTGTGGCCCTCATGCTAATATTTCTCTAGAGTGTGTTTTCCCCATGCTGAAATTATGTGGGAGCCACACAACCTGAGAACGTCTAATGTAATTGTGAAGAAGTCCGACACCTCAAAATCATTGAAGATTTGCACTAACAGCTGACAATTACATTTGTTTAGCATCAACTCCATCTTTGTGGGTTTTTAGATGTTTCTGAATTTTTTAGAGGCTTATGAGTTATATACTAGAGGTATATCTACATTAGATGAAGATATAGAATTGTTTCATTGGCAATTGTCCTAGTATTGGAAATACTGCTGATTGGCTCCTGAAACCCATTCCCCACCTACTTCTCCCTTGTCCACCTCTGATAAGGAGACAGGAAAAGTCAAAATATCCAGGCCCCAGCTTCCCTTGCAGTGAGGGTTGCTGTGTGACTCTGTCCTGGACAATGACATGGGAAAAAGATATTTTCCTTCCCTAACAAAAGATGAAAGAGGGAGCAAAAAGGGCCCTTCCTGCCCTTGTTGCCCTCTGGCTTCCTGCCTTTGGTGTTTGAAATTGCAGCAGCCATCTTGAGATGGTGAAGCGACAAGCCTGAGAATGAGACTCACTAACATGTCAAGGATGGCAGAGTGGAAAGAATGAACCTAGGTCACTGATGACATTGTTGAGTAGCTGATCCAATGTTAGTAACTACCCATCTCCAGACCCCTTGCTACAGGAGGAACACCCCCCATTTGTTTAAGCTACTGTTAGTTGAATATTCAGTTATTAATTAACTTCTGAATACAATCTAACTGATGCACTTAGTTACTTTAACGTTTTCTTTGTGGAAACTAAAACAGAACTAAATTTTTGACACCTGACCACTTATACTTGTGCTTATTTTTTGGAAGAGTAGTGGATTTTGAAAGAAACTCAGAGAAAAATTAACTTTATTCACAAGGTTTGGTTATTTTAGTCCCAGAAGCAGAGAGGACCTACCTCTAGCCCTCATACATGGTACAAGTTCTCAGGGATGCGTATTGCAGAGAACTTCTGTATGACTAAATACCACACTGGGAGCTGGGAGATCTAAGTTCTGATTAGGGGGAAAAGTCCTGAGCTTTGTTCTGATTGGAAGACATTGAACCATTCAAGGCCTGTGACCAGCGAATGTCAAGAGTTGATTAAGTTAGGCCAATCACTGTGGTGAGGGGGCTGCGTTTATTATTATAGATTAAACAATCAGGGCCCACCTCTCCAGCTGAGTGGTTACATGGAGCTGCTACCCTACGGTAGAAGGGTGGGATGGCTCTTGGGAGAGTAATCACTACACCCCCCACATCTGTAAGTTGAGCAGCTGACCTCTAAGGCTCTTTCCAGATGCAAACCAGCTGTGATTCCATGAGCAGAGAGCTCACCTATCTTTGCAGTCGTCTTTTCTCACCTCCACTTTCTTTTCTGTTTTTTTTTTTATAATTGTCCTTTTCTACTTCTGAGCATAGGTCCCGTGGAAGATAACAAACTTCAAAATGAAGTCGACACGCTTTGGCATACATCAGAGTTGGGCTAGGGAAAAGAAGTGAAACTGACAAGGTGACTCGTGAGGGTCGCTGTGCACCTCAGGGCAGAATGGAGTGACACCTTATTCATAGCGAGTTGGACATGCCAACCTGGGGTGAGTTACGTGGAACTGTTGGACCCTTAAAGGAAGCGATGTTCCTCAAGTTCCGAAGCCCATTTCTCTAGCGAATGGACAAGCTCTTTGTGAAAAGAGGAAAACTTTTTTGTGCAATTATATTTTTCCTCTGATCTTCATTTTTAAAAAAAAGGTTTAGTACCCAAATCCTTAACAGGCAAATCTCTCAGCCTCTTGAAGGAGTGGTCAAGGGTTTGCACGAAACGTTTCTGAAGAGAAAATAGGCTGAGTCTCCACCCCGCCTCCTCTCCACTTTGGTAAATACTAATTTTTTTTTAAATTACTGCACTGAGAATTTTATCAGATGATTTCTGGAAGCTGACTTATGAACTAATTGGGCACTTCTGCTGTGCGGAGGAACAAAGACTTTTTTTATTGGTCTTCAACTGAGGCATATACCTGTCTGATGGCGTTGGCTCATTCTGCACATGCTCAGTTGAACAGAAATCTTGGTGTTGAACGCAACCTAGCACAGCGGCAACACCCAGAGCCTCACTCCCTGCCTGACCCTGTGCATCCACTCCCTCTAGTTGCATTTTTATCCTGTTAAGTCTACATTTATAGGGAGTATAATAGAAAGCAGAGTAGGTGCTGGGCTTGGAGACAATATACAAAGGAGCTTAAAGTCTCGGTATGTTCCTGCCTTCCTGACCTTTCTCTAGGTTGTCTCTAGCAAGGGTGGGCGCCGGATAGATATTTGTTGAGTTTGAGACAGAGCGCGGGAGAAGCTGTTTCTATAGATTACCGTTTGTTGTTGCACACCTTCCTAGACAGTTTTTGTTTGGTCCTTTTCTTGGACGAACCCCCTCCTCCAGCCCTCATCTTCATTAAGGAATGACAGGGTGGCACTAAAAGCATCCGCTGCCGAGCACGGTCTTGAGTGACAACCTCTCTCCACCTCCCTTCTTGCTTTCCCATTCATTAGCACCCTTTCCCTGCTTCTTTTCCCAGCAAAAAACCGGGAAAGGCTTCCTGCGATTACAAAAGAATGGGGGGAGCGGCCAGAGTTCTGAGCCTCTTGCCGAACAATGTGCGTGCGGCCGTGGACCTTTTGTCCCCGGCCCCTTTCGTGGCTTGGTGGCTGCTGGGCGCGGAGGTGACGACCCCAGCCAGCCCCGCCTCCGCAGCTGCAGCCTGCGCGCCCCACTTGCCAACCCCCAGCACCCTCCAGAATCCCAGCGCCCTCCCGCTCGCGGTGACGCGGCTGGCGCCGTGCGCATGCGCTACTCAACTCAATTCTCTTTCCCTGGGCCACCGCCTCCCGACGGGCTGGAGTGGGCGGGGCCTGTGGTTCTGGAAGCCGCGCCGCCGAAGGGGGAGGAGGGCGTGTATGCGCGAGGCGGGTGCGCGGGGCTCACAAGCCGGTCGGCTGCTGAGGCGGAGGGGAGGAGCAGAAGGCGGTGGCCGCGGCTTTCGCCCGCACAGAGCGCTAGTCCGGCGAAGCCCCCTCCCACTCCCGGGCGGGCGGCGGCGGCGGCGGGAGGAGGAGAAGGAGGAGGGAGCGTCTCTGCCGCCGCCTCCTGGTCCCCAGCGCCGATCCGCCGCCGCCACCTCCCTCAGAGGCGATCTTCCCTCCACGGTCCTGCCGCGGCCCCCCCTGTAGCCCGAGCTGCCCCGCGCCGCGCCAGAGCCGGCCTCGGGCAGAGGGAGCGGTCGCGGCCTCGCGGCCCGCGCGGGCTGACGAGCCGAGAGCGCGGCGCCGAGCGGTCCCCGAGGATCCGCACGCCGGGCAGAGCGGCCCGAGCAGCGCGAGGAGCAGCGGGCGGGCGGGCGGCGCCGGGCCCGGGCCGCCCTCGCTCTCGCGCCCCGGCCCCGCCGCCCGCGCCGGGGCGGTCGCCAGCAGAGGAAGGCGCTGCAGTCTCTGGGCCTCGCGGCCCCACTCGAGAGTCCTCAGCACCGAGGGCTCGCGGGTCCCGAGGGGAGGAGACGAGCCCGGGGCTGGGCACTGAGCTCTTGGGCGCCCCCACCCCCGTTTTCGGAGCCCTCCACACTGCGGCCACTGTCCCCTCCGGACCATGGCCGACGACGACGTGCTCTTCGAGGATGTGTACGAGCTGTGCGAGGTGATCGGCAAGTGAGTCTCCACGCGAGGGAGCGGGAGTGTGGAAAAATGCAATTCAGTGATGCCCGGGTCCTCCCGCACCCGCTCCGGGCCTGCCCCCTGCCCTCCCTTCCTCCCTCCCCTCTGCTTCCTTGGTCCTCCTCACCCTGTAGTATTTATAGACGTGTACCTGGGTCTCCTGGGGTCTAGGGGGGTTTTCAGCGATCCATTGAGGCCAACGAGCAGAGGTTGGCCACCCTGTAAGGCGTGGGGCTGGCTGCCTGCATTTTATCTGACGGTTGCACAGGGACGTGGCAGAACCAATTTTATAGTTGCTTCCTGGGAACAGTTGAGGTTATTGTTACCTTGCGTGTACCATAGACCATTTATGAAAAGAGCAGCTTGCATTTCTTTTGCTTGCGTGGAGAGAGAGAAAGAGAGAAAGAGCGTTCAGGCTTTTTAATTGTGGGGTGTGTGTCTATTGTGCAGGATATTAGACAGATGCCTTTGTGTTCACCCCATGCCCGGATTGGAGGGGGTCATTTAAGACGGGGTGCGTTCAGTTTCAGCAAATTCCCTCCTGGTGTAGACGAATGTGGAAAGAGTTGGGGGCATTCGAATTTTTAATGCCTCGTTATGCAATGACTGTTCAATCAGTGCTCGAGGCTCCCTTCGACTGTTGTTGGGATGGTGGTTAGCGTGGTAGAGCCGTCTGCTTTGAGTCACCGGGCTGGTCTAGAATATAGAACTGACAGTCCAAATGCTCATCCTTTCATCTGTGTTGTATAATTACGCTAGGGAAAAGCAGGGAATCAGATTAATCACAGTGCTGATTGAGAATTAAATCTGCGGTTCCTCATCTAATTGTCCATTCCTTAAATCTATTTTGAATAGTTTCCTTTTCATTCTTGTCAAACAATATTCCAAGCGCACAATCCTGCTAATTTGCTTGTGAGGGAAATGCTGGCAATCTGAAGTTGATTTCCTAGCACAGCGTGTATTCTGTGACTTTAGAAGTTGAAGAGATAAAATTTAAGAGCGATTTCTGCTTATTTAATAAGGATTGCTAGATAGCTACCGTTGAAATATTTTACCTCTTTTTTTGGAAGCGGTGCTTTATTGTCTATTTTAAGGTCCGCAGTTGGGAAATGAAACCAAGACCTTAGAGCAGGTGGCTCTATCTCTTTTAAGTTGTTTGCAGTACTCAATTTCAATTTGTTTGAGTGCTGATAACTAATTTTTTTCTTCCATATTGAGGTATTATTACAGTGTTGTCTCACATGGTGAAATCGTGGGTAGAGCTTGCTACACACTTTACTCAGACCCAACTGATGAGAAGACATGTTACTCCTTGCCCCTATTGTTACATGACCAGCCTGTCTGTTAGGAGGATAGCCAAATGTGTCCTGGTAAAAGCGGTTGGTGGAAGTGCTCTAGAGCAGCGCTGTCCAAAAGATACATAATGTGATACAATGTGCCACATATGTAATTTAAAATTTTCTAGTAGCCACATTAAAAAAGATTGAAAACAAATAAGTGCAATTAATTTTAATAAAATATTTAACCCAGTAGATCCAAACTATTATCATTTCAACATGTGATCAACATAAAAAGTATTAATTAGATATTTTATATCCCTTTTTTTATACTTGAAATCCAATGTGTATTTTACGCACTATCAGCTCATCTCAATTCTGACATGACACTAAGCAAAATTTTCATCAGAAATACTTAATCTGTATTTAGGTTTAATAAAATTTTGCATTTGCAAAAGTAGATTCACATACACAAGTTGTTCCAAACATGCTTAAAAGTTTTCCAATAACTGAATCAAGTATCTCTTTCTAAATTTAAATTTAAATTAATTAAAATTAAATAAAATTCAGAATTCAGTTCCTCAGTCAGACTAGCCACATTTGAAGTACCCAATAGCCACATGTGAATAGCACAGTTCTAGAGGAAAAAATGTATCAAAAATCTCCTTGGTTTCTTCATTCTCAAGAGTACCCAGTGAAGGTAAATTAGGTGTTTCCCAAAAGCCTCCAAATGACTACATGTGTGGGTGAATGATGTTTGTTACATCTTAGTTATAGCTGATATAAATGAGCCAGCAAAGTCATAATTGAAAAATGTGAGATTAAAATGTTAATTATATTGTGATGACAGAAAATAGCCATCATTGAATCAATTTTGGTAACTAGTTCTGATTCCTTAAGGTCTGGAAGGGTGATGGTGTGATCTCTTTGGATATCGAAAAGAAATGGTCAGCATCACATTAATACGGTCAGTATTCTGCTGACTTATAATGGATAGAATATTTTCAGAAAACATCCCTGGTAGAATTATATTCATTTCTTCTGTTTTAGAGCTGCATAAAGAGGGAAAGCAAGCTAATTTTGAGGTGATAGGTACTCTATGGCTACCTTAACTACTATTAACTGTGAAATCTCTCATTCATAACCTACAAAATCTGACTTGGTCAGTGCTATTTATAAAATGCCATTCCATGAAATAATGAATCCAAGGTAGCTTTATTGTTAAAGAATGTAATGATAGTGTTACTCATCCTGTGTAAAGGCTGAAGATTTCTCCGGTAAATTGTCTCAGTATATATTGATCTGGAAATTGAAATTAGCTTGGGATTTTTTTTGCAGGGACCTTGACAGCACACATCTTAACTTAGAATTTGTTCAACTCTGGATTTAAATGGAAAGGCCTTCAAGGTGTTCACTTGTACTAAAAACCTTTTGGATTTCTATCCAAGTTCTACAGAATTTTGATTTTCTTTTATACCAAATTAGTATCACAGGGTGTTTTTCACCACTAGGTCTTAATAGGTTTAAATTTTTACCAAGGTACTTTAAAATAGATTTCACCTTTCAAGACTAATTGACCACCCACTCGCTCCCCTACCTACCGTCCTACCTACTCACTCATCCACTGTGTACTAGGGACTAGGCCTTACTGGGTAGCATAAATGAAAGTTCCAGTTTAATTTAGACCCTTTAATGTGTTTTTCCCCTTGGTTGAGACAACTTATAGAGTTGAGATTTTAAAGTATAAGATCATTATTTGGAATATGTTTTCTTTCCAGTGGCTGCAGCCTTTACCCTTGTTAAAGCTATCTTTAAGGGAACATGTACCTAATTCATTATGAATATTGGGAGGATGCCATTTCCTTTTAAAAAAATTAAAACTCATTTTCCCTGTGTTTCTTATTTTTGAAAATCTAGCAAAAACTCCTTTGAATGCCTAGTGTTTCTATAACATTTTCCATATAACATCTTTCAAGTGACTGAAACAAATCTCCAATAATGGGACCTTATCATAGTCCCATAACTTCTTGTCTTAGCAAATGTAGCAATTACTGGAAAGGAAAGGCATTATGTAAATACAGGTTAATGACTAATTTTTATGTCATGATCATTTACTGTATCTTTTGCAAATTTGAAGTTTTATAGATAAGTGTAAAATCAGTAATATTACATGAAGGAAATTTAAAACATATCATCCAAATTAAAACATAGAAAAATGCCTACTTTCTTGATACAGCAGTGTCTGTGAAAGGGAATAGCAGAATGCACACTATTTTTACCTTGTGTTGGCTGAATATTTGCCCTGGTATTTAGTAACCTGTAACTTCTGACTTTCCTGCCGTGGTAGGACATATACTAAAATTGGAATGATGCAGCATGACCCCTGTTCAAGGATGACATGCAAGTTTGGAGGCATGCTGTATTTGCTTACACCTCAAGAGAACTTAGATTTAATTACAGTTACTTATTTATGGGTCTCTCTACCTAGCTAATAGGGAGCTTCTTGAGGGTAGGGAATGTATCTTACACATCTTTCTCCATCTTTCTGTTACAGTGCCTGCAGTGTAAGTCCCTCATTAGCTATGGAATAAATTGAGTAGTTTTAATACAATCTCATTAAAAGGCAAAAAAGCATGTTTATCAACCTCAAGAGCAATTATCGTCTCAAAAGGCTGCATTAGTTTAAAGTAGTGGTTCTCCACCTGGCTGCATATTAGAATCATCAGGGGAGCTTTTTAAAAAGATCAATGCCAGGGCCCTGTGACAGAGCAATGAAATCAGAATCTGTGGGAGTGGGTCCTGGTCACTGGTATTTTTTTAAAGCTAAGTGATTCTAATGTGCACCTATGATTGAGAGTCATTGGTATAAAACTTGGGTTATGTATGTGGTATTTTGGGACTAGCTTTTCAGAGGCTTACAATTTTTACAAATAGCATAAGCATTTTCTGGAAGGTGTTGAAGCTAAAAGACTAAAATGTGGATTTTATCTTCTATGCACTCGTATCTCTGAGCCTTGTGTAAGAATTTAGTTTTAGGTTGTGTTTGGTTCGATTTCTTGGGCCTTTTAAGATCCACATTGATTTATGACACTCATATAATGCTAACATGGTGATTGTCTGATGTTTGGAACAACACAGAACAAGGATTGCTTCAATATCAGTTGATGATGGCTTTCTACTATAATGGCTCGATTTAATATTAAGAAATGTATCAGTTTAGTATGGATTGTGTTTGCACATACACTCTGTTAAAAGAATATGGTTAAGTTGCTTGTACACTTTAAATTCCATACTTGTGATTCCAATAATGCCGTTAGCCAGAGAATTGAGTTAAATGAAGCCTTTATGTAAATACTGGATTAATAATATGTAAAGCATATAATTCAGCATAGCAAAAAATTCACCTTTATCAATTTGTGCTAATTACTATGGCTTTCACAGATATTGGTTGGATCAGTGATTTGGGTTTCTAGTACCACGGGGAGAATGTTACATCATGTTGGAAAATCTTTCCTGGAAATTTTAACTAGAGGTTGCAGGTAAACTAGTTTTTAATGTTAGGAAAAGGTTAAGTGTGAGCCTGAAGGAACCAAGAATTTTCCAGAAATGAGTAGATGTTCCATGAAAGAAGTGATCACAGTGATAGCCATGTAACAAGGTAAAAGAAACAATCACCAGCTAAATCATTAGTAGCCCAGGAAGAATCCAAGCCATGGG